ACACACACACACACACACACACACACACACACACACACACACACACACACACACACACACATATATATATATATATATATATATATATATATATATATATATATATATATATATATAAGTATCTGAATAAAGGATATATTTTTCTGTATGTAGGTGTTCGTACTTTTTAATTGATGGTATATCGTGACTGCTTCTAGATGAGGATGAAATCGCTCAAGGAGAACGGAAGCGTGATGATGATGGTGATGATACAAGTGGTGTTGAGAAGTCCAACAGACGAGTACAATCAACGTTTTCACAGGATAATGCGCCCCCATGGATACCTCGTGACCGTAAAGGCGTTTACGATTGTCGTAGTCTTTCTCGCCCGCGCACCGAGCTGCAGAAATGGCGGAAAGCTATAGTGGCTTTGAAAAAGGTACGTTTCGCCAATAATTTCGAAAACCAAAATTTATCCGGCCAGTTTCCTGGAGAGTTAATGTTTGTACACGCCACGACCAACTACTGAAGTATTTAGCGCAATTATTGAGTTCTACAAATATATATTTTACTGTCACTCTTGTATGCGGCAAGAAATGACAGTCGGTTTCAGTGTATCCTGCAATTGATTTCGATGCAAACAATACCTTTTACAGCGTAAGACATCCGAGTCTTCGACTGCAATAGACGCCCTCTCTGTAGATACTGACGCATCAGCCGAAACTGCACATAGAGTCAGGTGTGGAGGTGCATACAATTATGATTGTGATAATGTTGAAGAGTGTGTTCGTACCGTCGAATTTTGACACTTAGACTGTCATAACGCTGTCTTCATTGTTAGTCTGTTCCCTGTTAGTTCCGATGCAGCGCGGAAAGTTGCCAGCGCGAAGGTGTCGGCTTCATCACTGGTTGATAGTAAGCTGAAGAGTATAATGCGCAGAAACGTTGAAGCAATCTCAGGTATGCCGACTATTCCTGAAGACTATTCGACTTCTCAATATAGTCTTGTTCATTCACGCTATATACGATGTACACATGAATTTTCGGTGTGTGCATCTTTTGGTGCGTATCGTATAGCAATATTTATCCTTGTGGCTACTAAGCGGTGGTGACAATTGGTGCTATTGCGCCTCGAACCTAGCATTAGGCCGGTTTGTGTCCCTCTGTGCCGTTATGTAGTCGGTTTTTCTTTCCAGCGTACGGATAGAATGAGAGGTTTTTCACTGATAGTCCGTAGTTTCCCTCGTATTGCATCATTGATGAATTATAGTGTAAATTTCTGAGGAATATATACCAATAGAAGTTTCGAGCTACTCGTTCTTTTGCTCGCAACCGCGGGGCAATATAGATCATGTAACGAGATACCCCTCCGGGGCAATATGAACTGCGTAGCGGAATACTCCGGAACACTATTGGTAGTGTCAAAAACTTTAGTAAAAGTAATGTAGCGGAAACTGGAAAGAATTCTTCCATAAAGTTATGCACGCCATAAAATACATCTGTCATTGCCAGACTTCATCGGCTATGAGTGTATTCGCTTATCATCTTTTAAGGTAGGATTTGAACCCACATTGTTTGAGTTGTCAGCTCAAAGTTCTATCGTTAAACTATCTAAGAACTAGGAGATGTAAATTCTGATACACGCTGGCATTGTTACTATAGGACAAGAGGAACTCGTGACGCAAGATCGGATCAATCAGATTCAAAAGAGTATGAAAATTCAGCAGAAGCGATTAGATGACATTGAGAAGCTACAAGTAAGTGGGATTTTGACATGCGAGTCGTCGAAAACATCTAAAAGCTATGCATAGGATGTATGCTAAACCTTTGCGACAAGAACTTGACTTTCGAAATAGACCAATATTGACTAAGAATTTTCGATGCTCAATATACTGAAGTGATATGAAGTGCTTGAATTAAATTGATCCAATTAGATTCATGGGAAGGTGGACATCACACTGGAACTCGAAATCGAGATGCAGCGAGAACACGTCCGAGCACTCCACACCATACTTCAACGAGCCCGTACCATGGTTGTGAAGGTAACGATAACTAATTGATACTCTTGATCTTGTGGCATCGCGCTGAAGAATGTCTCGTGAAATTTTGCATTTTGTTGCAGTCGATACTGCATTGTGAAAAGCACGTGAGTGTGCCAGTCTTGTAAGTATGATTACGATGTCTCACATCGAGCTCAAGCTGTTATCTGTAGTTGTCTTTGCTTCATAACCTTGACATATATAAGTGAGCTGTTTTGTAACCAAGCTACACGGGCACAATGTCGTCTCGTGGCTAGAGAAATAAACCTTGTAATTTGCCACGCACTCTTGATCATTTATGAGATTGTAAGTGATAACCACCTCCTAGCTTCATCTTTCACCACCAGTGAGCTTTTAAAACACGTTCTTATTCAACCTTTAGGGGGCACGATACATCAGCGAAGTGCAAGATGAGAGCAATATGTTGGGTGCAACCTTCCATGGTCGGACAATATCTATCGACGAAGGCGCTATACCTATGCCGAGCACGCCTCCCAGCAATAAAAGGTAGCATACTGTGCGCAAAGTGACTTTCGAGTAAATATCAAAACGAGTTGCACTACCGTCAAAAGCAAACACTCCGAACACTTCAATTCCCGACTTCTTTTGGTACCTTGTATTGTAGTCCTGAATTTCCTTCATACGAGGAATTTTTCTCGTATTATGCTCTGAAATTTCTCCATTTAGGAGTGTCTAATCATTTATCTCCCTATTCAAGGAATAGCGTGGGTCCCGAGGAGCTAGCCAAATTTATCGCGGGCGAGTCCCGTTATCAAGACTAGTAGTCCAAAATGAAGTTGGTCAAACTGCTAAGCATGTTGAGGTATATTACTCAGTGGGCCGAACCCTCCAAAAAGAGTTCGTGAGTTGAGGAGGGAACTAATTTTGTCTGTCAAACTAGTAAAACACACTGGGAGTATATTTAAGCCTTGGTTTCTAACTCAAATCAAATTTGTGTTCAAATTATACTTGGGTCTCGATAGTCTGATTCAAATCAAATTTTAGTTCAAAATGTGATATGAAGATAAACAAATCATCAGGAGCCTTACTAAAACAATAGTACAGCTACTAGTATTGAAGCAGTTGATTTGTCCAGTGATCAATGGACGCAGCAACACATGTATGTTATTTTCACGTCTGAGCTGTCGAGGATATAACAGCCTGCCATTGGGGCATGAATTTACTACATTACTATCGATTGGAGAAATATATGTATGGTTTTCACACTGTCGTGTCAACGGACCATCTAACACCCAGTGCAGTAGTGCTAAAGTTGGTCTGAGGCCAATAATTCTCTCGATCGATGTCAGAGTGCCGTGATTTGAAGCATGTTTATAACAAGCTGTGCACCAAATTTAGACGTTTGGCACGAGAATCAAATCATATTCAAGTCCCTGAGAACAACGGATAATTTCCAGATGAGACATATACTGTCACTTCAACACCGAATTTTCGATTAAGTTTTATTCAAGAGTTCCGCATAGCAGGTATATTTTATAAGTATACTGCTTTTCGATCTGTGTCGCTATCCGCGTCCCATTTTGAACCTTTGTTTTGCAGCGGAAATATAGTTGAACAGAACGTGAATGTTAAACATTAATATGAGGGAAGCAAATAGCTATTTATACACCACTAGCTATGCACAAATTTTGTGATGCAGTGTTCCGCGAAACTTCAATCATGGCAGGTACATTGTCTATCGATATTTGAGGGTTCCGATTAAACTTGTACTTTTGAGGTAAGGCATTATAATGAATATGATTGCCATCAATACAAGGGAGTCAAATAGATAAATTTACATTGCTAGCAAACACTTTGAAAGATGTCGATCTAGATAACGCTGAGTGCTTAACATATCCTCCCCGAACGTCTCAGGAAAGCGACTGAAAAAGCCTTATCGTGCAGCCCCCGGTATGTCCACGCACACGAGCAGTCGCTAGTGCACCGAAATATAATATAACTCGCCAATAACTAGCTATCGTGGTACATATACAACATGGGCAACCCCAAGAGATATTTCCAGACTCCAAAATGGTCTATAATGAGAGATCACATCGAGTCGGAACTTCTGCCTCTACTTATTTCAGAACAAGTGCCGACGAGGATGACGTTAAAAATAATTTCTTGTACCCTTCAGTTCTATAATATCGTACTGCAAACTCAGACACCTAGCGTCCGTATAGTACTGAATAGCACGCCGTAGTAGGTTTAAACTAACATAATCAGTCTGCCATCGGGTCCTGTACATAGGTATATCGCGGAGGTTATGACACAAACCTGCGCTTGCGATTATGGGTTTTTAAAAACCCTAAAACCCTAAACCCTTCACGAGCCATTATACTATTTTTAGAAAAAAGAGAAAAAACTCTAAATGTAATATCTTCTCTTTTAAATCGATTAGTCAGCGCATACAATGCGCATGATGAGTAATACCGTGAGGGACGGCAATCTGGTCCCTGATTTCATGGGAGGAAGTAGGGAGGATTGTGCATGAGCGAAGTCTAACTAGGCGGAGAACTAGATATGACGCTCGTGTGAAGTCACGTCCTTCTTTACCGTCTTACAGCCTGTTCCACCTTCTCTGACCGTGCTCATCTGTGAGTGTTGTGATGGTCTTCAATACGTCATGATTGAGGTACATATTCATTAATTCGTCAGCCAACTGCTCGTCCCAACTCAATGCATGGCCCAGCCTCAAACCCTCGCCACTCTCACCATGAGAATCTATATAGGGTGCTAACTCGGTGTCCAATGCGCCTTTACCATGATGTTGCATTCCAGGTGATACAAAAACTATATTGCACTGCTCTGAAATAAGAAACACGCCCAAACCATTTCCACACGTAGCCGCATGTATGTTAGCTTCTCCATACATGCAGTCTTGCACAGACTCACCAAAATCGTAGTTCCGGAAGGCACACGTGTTTCTATCGTACGGCAGCGGTGGCCGACGCACCGAAGGCATTCTCTGTTGGCAACATTGCCCCATCACGCATACTTTTGCACCACAAAGCATACACAGCGCAGTTTGTTCAGGAACAGAATTACACTGTTTGCACTTCTCCGTAGCACCCCTCAACACAAGCTTACTGTAGTCATGCGGTAGAAGTCCAGCCCCCAACTCAGGCCGTATCCGAAATGATTGACTGAGAAGATTTGTCACCGCCCATGGTTTAGTAAGCATGTTCTCGTAGTATTGTCGTTCACTGACTGTTAGCGCAGTGGCAATGGCCACGACTGGTAGTGCGTCATAAGCTGATTCGTTTGTAGATACTGCCTGTGGTGCCACTTCTCGAACGACCGGAGGCAATAATCGCTCGCACAAGTTGTTGAATTCGAAGGTGAAAGAGAGCCCATCCTCATCTAGCAATGACCAATATACGATTGAGTGAGAAGAAGAAACCAGAACAAATGACAGGCTCCTGGAATACGCTTCTCTGGTAAGTAAATGTTTGCATGATCTGGGTATTTTCGTGCCATTGAATTTCACTACACCAAGGATGCACTGTTGAAGTTGTTGCACGGTATTTCGAATTTAACAAGCTGTAATCGTTCTTGCAACGTGGCTTCGGCCTCTGCACAAACAAACCATGCTTCTAAATACATGACAGAAATACTTTATACGGGTCATATAAATAATCATTTTGCTGCCAAGAATACTTACCAATGGGCTGAAGATCGGGAAGTGTGTCATCGTCCCACACTACAACTTGGAGACAGGCGCTCTGCCGCAAGAAGGGAATCATCCAGCGCATCAAAACGATTTCTGCCCTTTCTACACGATGCAGCCACGCCGAGATCATGATATCAGAATAATCAAGGTTCATAGGATCCTCCTTTTGATACAGATCAGTTAAACCGTGACACATACTTCGAACTAGAGAGGAAAACCAGCGAGGGACGTTCCGGTGATCTGGATCTGCTTGTAGGTTTAGTAGTTCCCATGGCTTGAAAGTATCAACTCTGATCTTGTGAATGTGTTGCAACAAGTGAGTGCGAAAAGCTTCCCACACCAAACCCTTAAACCTTGTCACATCCGGTTCCGAAATACTTTGCTGCCTGGCTCTGTCTGCATCTTTCAGATGGGCAATTGTATCTAAAGTAGGTAGCGTGGTCGGTGAACAGATAGGCTGGCATGATCGCACTACCAGCTTGCGAAAAACATTGTATTCCTGCCAGAGTTCAGCTGACTTGTTCTTACACGCAGACCATGGTGTATGTCCCTCATTGCAACCCCATAACTGGGCATGCATATCGAAGTTACGATTCAAAAAGGCGCCTCTAAATCCAGTGATACTGCACTCGTACAATGCCTTTAGAGATGATACATCACCAGTGCACATGGGCAACGCTAGAACATGGTCACTCTCTGTTAAATGTGTGTCAGGTGTTGAGGAGATTGCCTTCGAACTTGAAGTTGAATTTGAGCATGAGGTCGACTTTGTGGCAGGGTTTGAGTTTGACGTTGGGGTCGAGTTTAAGGCTGAGTTCGAGGTTGAGGTTGAGTTTGAGGTTGAAGTTCCATTGCCGTTTGCATCGAATGATGTGGACGCAGACAAATTTGAGCTGCGATAAGTGGGAGCCGTACTCCGGGCATCGCCTCTGTTGCGATTACTGATCCTCGATGCCGCAGTTGCTGTAGACTCGGATGAACATTTACCTTTCGCCTTGCTACTCCTGATCTTCACGTCATTTATGGGGGGTGCAAGAGCTGACATTCTGGTGACAGCAAAGTAGGGGCATTTAAAAAAACAAAGAAAAAACAAGATTAACGGTGAAATATTGCAGAAAGATTTCGCGAAAGCATGCTCTTTCTATTCTAAGACATATCGGTGACGGAACGAGATGAAAATTGAACAAAGCTAAAAACGTCCAAATAATACATTGTCATGGTATTAATAGTAATTCATAAGAAAAGAAAACTGCTGTATGCCGCGGAGCTATACTTCACTAGATATAGAGTATAACGATACCAAATCTGTTAAGTGAGACGACATACCGCATACTCCACTTTCGATACCCAGAAAGCGCCCTATAAAGCGTTTTCAATATGCGCAGATTGGTGCGCACAGCGATCAATTGCTGCTTATCAACATCCTTGTGTGGGCCGGCGGGGTTTGGTATTTGTTGAGCACCACAGCGACCAGCCAACTCTATGGATGCGATTGTATACCACATAACTTCCTCGATCGGAAGCTACATACAAGATATATGGTAGACCATTAGCAAAGGCTGTGGCATCAGGCGGAGAAAAATTGCAACATGCCTAGAAATTCGAGCCAAATAAGATTTGAGTTTAGATCCAACTTAAATATAGGTATGATTGTCAAGAAAAGAGTATATTTGAATCTCGTCGACATACCTGAGCATGTTTGGCTAACTTAAGACGAGAGTGTGATTCAAGCGAATTGAGTCCCTTGCGCACACAATCCCAAGAATTTGAGCGTTGATGACGAATCCTGATTGAGCTCACTACCATAATCATTAACTCATAATATATTTTCTCCTGTGCCATAGCCTCTGCTAAAAGAGCCTTCCTGTCCATCTGGAGAATGAAAGAGATACATACAGCGCATGTAAATTATATGGTCTTTTTATGAAATAGCTATTGCCTGCAGTGCAATAATATCGACACAATCACCACCGATTGATCAGGAAATCTGCAACGTGATACAGCAATAGGAATCCTCCAGCGATCATAGTGAGATCGAAACCTCTTTACCTTCTTAGCAAGCGGTGGCGGTGCCTCTATATAGGGGATCAGAACATTGCCTAAACGCTTACACATTGGGCAGAGGAACTCGCCGACGTCTATGTTTTCGATATAATGCAGGGGCCTGCAGATTTCATAGGTGATCAGAAGAATGTAAGGTAGAGCGCCAACATACAGAGATATACAATTCAGCGCAAAGCATACAGGTATGTGGGCGGGCACGAGGTACATTAAATGGTATATACGAGAACACAGAAAATCTACACCACATACGCTTCGTGTCGCGAAAGCTTGAGAGAATCGATGTAGCCCTCCAAACAATGATTGTGAACTGTGTGCCCACATCCGTCCATGAACAATTCGGGACCGCAGGGAAGATTGTTGCGTGCCTGATTAAAGTTGTTTGGCTTCTTGTTCAAATTATTATTCAAGACATTCCGCATCACTGTATGTATAACTCCGGATTCCTGTAATGCAATGTCATAAAAAAAAATTGGAAAGAAAAATGAGGCATCTAAAATTACCTAAAAATGTGATTTCTTTGCGAGCAATTCTATATTATTTTATCAATCACTCCAAACCCAGAAAAAAAGTGCAACTACGGCCAGGGAACGAGCGAAGTCGCTACCAGGATCATAGCTTCAACTCACCCTCAAGCTTGCAGTTGGAATGTGTCTAAAATAAATAAATCATGAAAGCATTAACCCCGCAAGCATGCATGAAGTCATAGATTTTCTTCTTTTGATAATTAACACAGAAATCTAAATTCATCAATTAAAACATCAAATTCATCAATTCAAGATAGTGCTGCTTAAAAGCAATTTTTAAATATGCAGACACGAACACACATAACTTGGGACAAGCCCTTCGAATTGCCCAAATCAATACGGGCGGGATTGACGTGTATATGCTAAAGAAGATGAAACAAATCGGGCGCGTTACCTGGATGTAAGCGATAGCACTGATTGCTCTTCGGTTCGATACTTCCGGACATGATTGCATGTAAAGTTTATCGTCTTCTTGACACATGATACAAGTTACCACAGTCTCCGGATAGGCTGTCGATGAAAACACTTTATCGGTCTGCACGATATCAGTACGAATAGAAAATTTGACACAATTGGGTTATTATTGTGCGTGTTCGTGCAAGATTTTACTTGAATAGCATTCAAAACAAAATAGATACCATCCAAGCAGTTCAATGATGCATGGACATGAGCCAACCGTCAGCGATGTCACACAAGACAGAACGCACAAGAAGAATGATCAGAACAGGAAAACAGGATATACCGCGAAATTCAAGGTCGCTCTATAGCAATACAAACCTTGAACGCCGTCTTTCCCCCCTTGCTGTCAGATGAAGCCGAGCTGTGGTCCAGGAAGCTCTTCTGTTGTTTTGCCATCTTTTGCATGATGACGGCTCTTCGTTTCACAGCCTCTGCCTTGCGCACACGTTTCAGGGCGCGAGATCTGTGCGTAGGTAGTAAAGGTGTTAGATATTTTAGATATGCACTACGAAGCAGTTGCAGTACCTGATTTCAACATAAGTCGACATACAACACAGAAAAGTCCGTTCGAGTTGTACTATCAATAAACTATTTGACTACACGCTCAAGTCGAACATTACAATCGGCACTTGATAGGACAGCCCACTCTTGATATATGTGCATGCACTGTTATTCGCCCAGGTGTTACGTACTCTTCACTCTCCGCTTCCACACTACATTCTCTGAGGCGTTTCTTGATACCGATCTCAGGTGTGGCTCCATTTCTTTTGGTCTCAACAGAATCATCGACACTACCATCGAAACCCAGACTCTGTGAGACGAACTTCAGTAGAGGCGCGAAGTCTCTCCCAAAGGGCCCAAGCTGACACTGATAGAAGCCAAAAAACGTCAATGATAAATAAGAAGTGGCATTGGCGCCTTCATGCATCATTCAACAGAAGAGGAATTACATATTGAAGAAAATAGAGGGGATTTTGTTCGGATCGCGCATATAAAGCATGTGCAAACGAATCGACATGCTAGCACATCAAATACGCCTCACCTGCCGTAGAACAGCGGCCAAAGATCCTCCACCATCAAGTAGTATTTTATTCAAAGCCTCAGTGAAAAGCATTACGCCACACAGCTCTTGCGCTCGAACAGCCAGTACCAAAATCCAGAAAACCTGTATACGCAGAACAGAAAACGAAGCATCCGAATTGATAAATGTTTTAAATCCGAATTTGCTTGCTCTGAAGCATATCAATAATACTGGAATTGTATTGGGCCCCACATTTGAAAAGCAAACGTGAAAAAAAAGCATTCACAAACAGACATCACAGTGTGTGGAGCTGCAGTCCAAACAAATCAGCATTGACACGGGGGTAATACATCTGGTAAACGAAATTGTCCATAATCTCCAACTTACAGTTTGGGCAAGGGTTCCAGTCAACTGCGGATTTTCGCTCCTGCTGAGCCGAAGAACATGTGTGATAATGCAGAGGAATATTCTGCTCTTCAGCACCTTCAGAAACAAAAATGCTCCTGCAGCATCCACGCCCAGTGGAAACCTCTGCTCAAAAATCATACCAAAGAACGACATTTGGTAAGCAAGAAAAAGTAGAATGTAGAGAGCCATAGAAGTAATACCTGATACTATTCTGTAAGTGTGCATACACTTGTATTTTTTTTAAATGTGCATACACTTGTATTTTTTTTAAATGTGCATACACTTGTATTTTTTTAAATTGTGCATACACTGGTAACTGTCAAGCTGGCTCTATGGAAAAATGCAACTCATATGCATACGTGGAAGTAGTTCGCGCCCTCTCCCTCGTCTTTTGCCATCGAAAGAACTTTCTTCATCGCCTCATCTCTCTCAGTATTGCAGAAGTGCGCGAAATGTGGCGTAAATTGATAATGATACCGTGCCAACAGCGAGTAAGTTTTTCGCGTGTTCCCCCTAAATTGATTGTAGATGAAAGCAAATAACCAATTAGCCAGTCGAATTCTCGGTTTCTGCTCAATCGTAGTTTAAACACTAATCGCCGTAGTGTACCAGGTCCAGTAGAGGGATACTTGTGTGCGCTAAGTCCCAAGGCCGAATAGACAATTGAAAATAACAAGTAAGAATATTCAAGACAAAGAACGAGGGTGACACGACATGAGTGCACCTAGATTGAACGGTCACACGATGATTTGGACACGCGACATCATCAAATACCGTTTTCGATCATCGTGTTCGCTCATCGTACTCAAAGCAGCATCGAAAACTTCCTTGTCGAAGAAGTCACCACACCTCTCCGCTAGAGTGCTGTAGAGTGCAGGTTTCAGCATCAGCCATTGGATGATATCTCGGGCAAGGGCTGTGGACAAGGGAGTATGTACAATCGTAAAAAAAAATCAGTAATCCACAGGTACGAGAAATAATAATAATACAATCAATAGGCAACCTACAAATTAAGGTATAATAAACTTACGTTCCGACACCCGAGTTTCCAGCATGGTGGAGATGATTAGGTGAAACATGTCCGCCAGCAGGAGGTTGACGGACACCCACTCAGTCTGACGTTCGAACAAAGACGTTTCAACAGCGTCATCCCAATCGTTTTCTTCCACAGCCTATTGCCCAAATAAGGTAGGAAAACCGGATGTCAATTTCAAATACGAATTTGCAATTGGCACAGGTAAAAATTATAGTTTCAATTTGTCACTAAACTAAGAGCTCAAGAACACGCGAGACGAGAAAATAAAACTTACTCGTTCACTTTATAAACCTTTCCCCACACACGACGTCGCCATGGAATTATAGACATCAGACGTACCTTAAGTAAAAACCGCCGAGCGCTGAATGCTTGAAGTAACTCCAATGCAATTGAATCTGAATTTTCGGCCTGGCATTCGAACATCATTTGCAAAAGACGCATCTGAGGTTCGTAAAGCATCTGTCTCATTTCATGTCGATATCTCGAAGCCTGAGTGTCAGTAGTAATTTGAAAATGTTAGAACCCTCATTGAAGCTCACGCTCACAATCTTATATCGACCGATGCATATAGCTTATACAAACTAAGCAGCTCAAACTTTAAAGCAAAACGATATACAACGTAAACAATATGCCCATGAAACACATGCACGCGGGCGCAAAATAACATGCATCCATATGTTGCAAGCCTATGAATGAATGAAATTGTGACGTTATGCGACTCACCACTTCTCGAGGCGGGTTGCCATTTCGCACCCACAAATTAGCAGACACCTGACTTCTGAAGGCCAAAGCATTCACCAGGTCACGAATAATATCGGAGACTACTGGTGTATTTTGTGTCCGTAGCAGCGGCCACAGCAGCGATACGTTCTTAGTTTTAACTTCGAAAACATCGATGAGGGCTACAAACGTTAGAAACACATACGAATATTAGATCGGGGTTAGATTCTGAACAAAACCTAGTTTCATTCTCGAAAAATCAAAATATATTGATAAAAAAATTACAATCGCGACCGCAGTGGGAGCTGCAGAAATACATGCAGAGTACAATAGTTCATAACTTTCGAAACAAAGGGCACACAATGTCTGAACTATATTTACACACAGGCTGAAGTGAATATACCAATAAACCAAAAATAGTCATAGAGTAGTCGGCACGTGACATACCGCTCAAAAGCTGATGCAAGGGTAGATACACGGTAAAAATCACTTTGTATGGGGCCGATTTATCACGTCGCTGCAATCGTTTACGCGTCGCTCCGATATGACCCACACACGCGCGGATGGAGTAAACAAGAGCAGAAGTATTCCTAAAAAAAATGAACACATTAATACGATCACACGTTAGTATATGCTGTAGCTGCCAAATCTACTAATCGATAGCAAATAAACCCAAGGCGATTCACACAGACTGAGAAGCCACAATTAAAAAACAGTAGATAGATTTTGCCATTGAAAAGCAACCTAATAAATTACGAACATTGGCTTCAAACTATGATGTCTAGAGCCTATCGCGCGATTTGATGCATAAAACCGACTACATATACCCGTTCACAAAAAGCACAAGTAGTATTATTATTGCACAAAACCTCCATCTATCATAAAATACATACACCAACTCTGAACATACTCGGAAACATATCCAACAAAGCTAGCGATAAGTCTGGCCAGGGCCATCGCGCGGTCGAACGCCAAGCGAAAGGCCTCGCTTTCATACGCCACGTGTGGCATATCTCTGCTTATTCTTGCTTGGCCGTCAATAGCCTGCGTGAGCAGAAACGGATTTCAAATTTCAGTAGTAAAAAAAAAGGTTTAACGAGAGCAGACTCACAAGATTCGGTACGGATATAATTATAATCAAACAATTTCAGGTCAAGGGCGCAAGGCATATATATACGAATCAGTGGCAGTTGCAATAGGCAGCTTCAATCAATGGCCAAACTTAGCACACCAAATTAGAATGAGTCAGTACATGCATGGCAACGCACACAGACAGTATGAACACGAAGGAGCGCTTAGTTACTCCAAAATCAATTGCACAGAGACTTCACACTTCAGTAATAGATGTTTGATATACGGGCAAGATTAGACTTGTAAGATTTCAAACCTGGAACATGCGAATGATATCCAATATACTGTCGATAAAGAGAATCACGTGCGGAGCAGGAAGGTTGATGGTATCCATCCAGCTCTTCGCGCTGCTCACTTTACAGCTGCGTTTTGGTCGAGTATTCTTTTTAAAAATCTCTGAAAGGTAGAAATATGACTCATTAGTCATCGATAAAAAACAAGCATAAAACCTCCAAATAAAGTAGTAGTGATTGAAAGAGTAACATGGTCGAGGAAAATCGAGCAACAACACCGCTAGCGCACGATAATCAAGCACACGACGAGCTTCATGGTAATTTGACTCCACGAAACACAGTGCATAATCCTCATACACGAACCTTTTTTGTCCCACGGAAGTTTCCCCAGAGAGCGCAGTATATATGACAAGTCTTCAAGCATGAAATTACCCCTGGACAACGTGTCGACGAGCTTGTCCGTGTCCAGTGTATCCAGCATGGGATTGACATATGGTGCCAGAGTCTCCTATATGTCGGATAGTACCAGAAAAAGGCAGACACGAGAGCGACCCAGTGTAAGAATATTTGAGAACACGTTTTCTATGTTTGCGTGTCAATACGCATCGGCTGAAGTGAGTGTGCATACATCAATGCGTATACGAAATCATTTTACACCCACCCAAACGGACGTTGCACCTAACACAAAAGATATGGGGAAGGAGCCCAACTAAGGTGAACTCCATTGGATATGAACGATATCACCTCAAGCCATAACGCATGCGCAAACATATCAGAAGTGTCATAAAAACTCACAAGAATAGCAGTGGTGACGCGCATAGCTAGACCTTTCTCCCCTTGTACAATTGCAGGACTCGTCAGGAATTGTACAGTCAAGGCGAGGCAGCTATGATCATACTTGAACCGTTTCTGCATGAATTGGCTCTGAATCTGCCCATAATTGTTTAGCAGTGCATACGCCAGCACCCTGCAAATTTAAAACGAGATTGGGTCATCAGAATGTCATGTAGTATAACAGCTGATGAAATACGATACTATTTCATTTCATTGCAGCAGATATCAAAAAATTAAAAACACAAACAGAGCTGATGGAATTTGTAAGGTGTATACTCCGCTTTAACCATGAAACGGGATTGTGCCATGAGCAAGTTGTGAAGTATAGCAGTTGGACAAGTTCAACGATACGCCAGCCTTTTCATTGCAGGTAACAGAAATTAAGAACTCAGAGACCGATGAAATTTATCGGAAGTGGAAATTCCACTTCAGCCTCATCTGGCCCCTCTGAAACGTAAAATGACACCCCATACTATCCGAGTATGAAATAAAGAACGACCCAAAATTACCTCCGTTTGTGTGGTACGATCAGCAAACTAGTGAAGTAGAGACTATTGATAGCTTTACGTAAACCTTTCCAATATTTGTCCTCATTGACCAAACGAGTTTGGAGATTCGTTTGCAAAGCATCGCACACGTACTCACGCAGCAGAGGGTGTTCTCGGCAAATCTCCGATAACCAATCAATTCCTTGCACAATACATTCTTCCTGTGTTTGGTCAAGGAAGTGAAAAATTTGCATTATGCGGATGCCATTTGCCATCACATGCCTTAATTAGATCCGATAAAATACTGACACTTGGAAAACGGCGCGCTTAAAACTCTGGAACAAAGTCGCCGAAGTAAATTTCTTTGCATGAGATAGCATAGATGGCGCTTCATACCTGCACTGCCACGTTCAGCTCCACCACGCGATACTTGATGCCGTCAATTGTACTCTGCATCAATCGCTTCACTACTGAATCGTCAATTTTACCCACAAAGACAACTGCACGACCCTCACTGGTGACACGGGTGGCTAGTCTAGTACTCTCGGCTTCCGCGTACCCAAGAGTCATTCTAGAAGAATCAGAGTGAACATCAGACATTAAGAAACCTCCGCGAAACTGTACAGATATCCACCGAAAAGGCTATGGACCCTCTAGAGTTGTAGTCGAACTCAAAAGCTGACTCCTTCTCGTGATTCCAAAGAATACTGAGTTAGTGAAAATAAAGCGTAAAAAAACTGGGAACCAATTTTCACGAACGTCGATCGTAAATATACTTACTTCATGTGAAGGGCTATCATGGCTGGGTAGCCATTGCTGACAAATGTTGCGACAACAGCATATCGCTTGGAAGTATTGGTTTTCATCTGTGATTTGTAAAAACAGCAACCAGTGTTGCACCCTGTTGGAAAAAAAATTGATCAATTGAAAATTGCTTGATACCTATCCAACGGCACATAAGTTGCTGGAACGCGTCTCCAGACTTGAAGACATGTGTATGTTATCGCATGCGGATTCGCCTACAGACCTAAATAAATAAAGGAGTGCAGTTTACTGCCTCCAAGAAAGCGCTCCACATTGGGTATCCCTCTATCCGCGCGTCGTGCGACACCAGGGTAGCATTATTGAATAGCGAGCTCTAACACCAGACTGGCATAATGATACAGGGAGAACAAACCAAGACACTTACTCACTACCCATACCACGCGCTAACATACCGGCCATGGCATTGTCGATAAAGTGTACCACGTCGTTGATAGTATCTTTCCAGAACTTTTTGACAAAATACGGAGCCTCTGGCTTCTTAAGAACCTCGGCTGTTCCGATGTGCAGACTACAATGAGTATGGGCGGTCCATGCTTCTTCAATCCCACAACTACATACACCCCCCGACGAGGTGACAGTTTCAGACTGATGGAACTTGTGTTCGCTCATTTCAAAGCATGGAGAACACAAGGCGCTTGTGGGCATGCTTTCACACTCCAGACATCGGTAAATACTTTCTTCAGGACTGACAGTCTTGCCGCACTTCACACTCCCTCTCATCTTTTCGTCGTGAGTCAATCCTTGGATGTGTATTTTGCAGTGCACATGGTCACTCCATGCATCCACATCTCCACAATCGCAAGTGCCTTCGGTCATTGTATCTACTTCGAAATTGTGGTCTTTGTGTTCACTCGCTTGAAAGCACGGCAAACACAAACAGCACGTTTCGTCTATCTCACAGTCTTTACATCTTACTGCGGGCATGCCCGGTGTCAGTTCCTTCCCACACATTGTGGCCACATTTTTAGTAGGGTTGTTCACACCATCATCATTCGTACTATTCCCCACTGCGTCAACATCGGCCTCCACCGCTACAGACTTCGCCCCATCGGAGTGTACATAAGCGCTGGCATGCTCATTGCAACTAGGATGAGCGCGCCACGCATCCGGATTGCCGCAATCACAAAGACCCCTGGTGCCCGCGGGCAGCGCTTTGTAATTGTGATTTTTGTGCACCGAGTTGTGGAAGCATGTCGCACACATTGCACATGTCTCGTTCACTCCGCAATCTGCGCATGAATAGCACAGCTCAGTCTTGGTAAATTCTCTTCCGCAGAAGCGCATCGCATTTTCGTCGCCTTCTTCTCCACCAGTTGGTCGCATGCTATAAAATTCAGGCTCAAAGGATATCTTTGATAGCGCTGCGACCACTTCCATATGAGCGGGCTCCTTCCCTTTCTTCAAGTTCCCTTTACTGCCACCACTCGCCGGTTGATCTGTCCTTTCTCGTGCTAAGGTATTCCTGGTCCTACTAGTATTTCTTTTTGTTTCAGAAACAGCGGGGCTATCAACAGCGGGAACCGATTTCCTATCCTGGGCCGCCAACCGCAAAGTAAAAGCGCGAGTGACTGGTGGCAATATATCTTGGACGCTCGTTAGTACAGTCACAGTTGGCAGCGCGTCCACGATGTTTCTGTACCTGGGTATGTAACGGATTTTGAAGTACGTGAGCAAATAAAATATAATTGTACAAATCAGGATGACACGATCGGTATACAGGGACGGCGAGATTGGCATTAGAAAGGACAGGTGAACTTGCATGTTTGCGAGATGCTAGCTTGAGCAGATGCAATATCCAGGCCAACTAACTTAGGTATATTTTTCTTATAGACTTAATATTATCCAAGCTCTTGTACTTCTACCTATGTGATGGTGTGCATCGATGAAATTGAAGCGGAAAGCATACATAAAGCTCACTATTGCAACGTGCTATCATATTTGTTGAAGCCAAACCACGGAAGCGACAAAATGTCAGGTACCAGCAACAAAAGTACGCTACAATGCAAACTTGTATAAATCAGTCGTGTTCTGCAAAAACCTACCATAAACAGGATATCTATACGAGCAGGATTCGCACAAAGGCATATCTGTCGTCTATCACACAAAACGATACGCAATCAAGAGATGGAACCAGACACGCGAAAGGTGCTTAACCCTAAGAGAGAAAATAAATCCGTGTCCGAATTATAACTAAATTTTGCATACATTTCGGACAGCGTAGTTGCACCTCGTTGTTGCGTGATTTCGGACACCTCTCCTATCATTTTGAGCACAACGATTGCAAGCAAGACGTGTGCTCGATAGCTACTCTAAAAATAGGTAAAACTAAGTCTGTATGCAGCATATCTCCGATTCTAACCATACTAATAGCACTATCAAAAGAAAACAAGTGACATACTCGATGTAGTAGTCTGCTATGAACTTTGTGATCCACGCAGCCAGGGGTTTGTTGTCATACACAGAGTTCAAACTGGTCGATCTGTTCCACGGTCTCTGAGCCGACCCTATACCCAGCCCTTCCATAAACGCAGACACGGCTGGCGAGTGCTGTGCTATGTTCCCAGGAATGGCCATTCCCAACTGTCCCAAGGCTCCCAGGTTAAACCCTATTTGGGCCATCCCTCCCCCCTGCCCAGGAAATGGTAGCAGCCCTGTAGGCATACCCATGCCTATGGGGGCAAGTATGTCCATGGCGTCAAACTCATCGTCGTCGTCGAAATCATCGTCAGAGAAGTCCATTGCAGCAGGCCTTAACGGTATTGATGTGTTAGGTGTGCCTATCTCCTAACCAGTACTAAAGTATGTATGCACGCGTAAAAGATTCAAAAGTTAAAGCTACATAAGTTAGATATTTTAGCCTTAAAAGTTTGATATATTCTCGAGTATTTATATACGTGTGCATATATAGATATGTACATATATTAGACCCAACACTCGCAAGAGTGTGATACATGACATCATCAATTTTTTTTTGTATTTCATATATGTATCGCGCGCAGCAAACACTATATGCCCCCTAAAGTCTAAACTACTGCTGGAGAGGGAGAAGCCCGGGCTAGGAGGGCAAGAGGGCACAGTGCACACGATTACAGGGTTTGAGTCAGAGGTGTGAACCATAGAATCTCCAGAAAAGATCGGATTAAGAGAGCCAATACACCTTGTAAGGATCGGGGCTAGGTCCTGGCAACAGAAGACAAGGGCGCGCGTAGCAATAGTACGGCCTATTGTGATTGATAGTATCTCTCGCGAAGTCTTGCCACATACTTAGTCTTTCGTCAGACGCCCGTGCCTGAAATATATCACAACATAAGCTTCTTTATGTGTTATCTATGGGCACCAAAAGACGTTTTGACTTAATTATCGATATAAAGCACGAATCATACAACAATAATCGAACAATGCAGACTACTCTGCTTCGCAAATCTTTATTAAACCGGGTATCCTGTTTACCAGTTCTTTCCTTCTCCCCCTCAGAACATTCACCTCTGATTCAAAAGCACTAAGGTCGATGCCATCCATTTCCAGGAGAAGCTTGGTGAGAGTCTCACCGAGCTCGAGAGTCTTTCGTCAGACGCCCGTACCTGAAATCTCTCACAACATGAAATCTTCTTTATGTGTGGTTATCTATGGGCACCAAAAGACTTTTTGATTTAATTATCGATATAAAGCACGAATCATACAACAATAATCGAACAATGCAGACTAATCTGCTTCGCAAATCTTTATTAAACCGAGTATCCTGTTTACCAGTTCTTTCCTTCTCCCCCTCAGAACATCGTCCTCTAATTCACAAGCACTAAGGTCGATGCCATCCATTTCCAGGAGAAGCTTTGTGAGAGTCTCGCCGAGCTCGAGCGTTTTATTGGGAGTAGCTGCTTCTGTACCTACTAGAGGCGCAATTTTGTTCACGTCCGCTTCAAACAGTCGAAGTCGTCGGGCGATATCCATCAGCTTAGCCCACTGAGCATCGACCTGAAACGAAACAAATTGTGCTTTTAATAGTAGTTGTATGAACGGGACGCTTTAGATTTTTGTTAAGCAGCACAAGGGTTTCCGGTTGTGATCAGCTTATTTGAAGGCCCGACGCAAAAGATAATGATACATATATATATATATATATACATACATACATACATACACATACATACACACACACACACACACTATATATATATATATATATATACTATATATATATATATATATATATATATAAATATATATATATAGATAGATATATATATATATGGACATAAATATGTATTGCTCACCTGGCCCATAACTGTCACCTTTGAGCTGCTATTGATCTTGAAGACGTCCGCGTCGTGGTCTACCTTGACCCCTCCTTTACATATAACTGTCAATTTATCAACAGGTATCTTGGTTTGCGTTGAAACACTCCGTTTAAGAGCAGTAGCACCCTTCGATGGATCAAAGGTCAGAGGGTAACTCTGCCTACCATGCTTGACTGTGATTGCAATCATCCGTTTCTGCACATCGGACCTTGGCGAATTGGTATTTGGTTCTCTGCTCTGGTGGGATCAATAATTAAATATATGCTATTGATTTAAAAATACGCCTCAGAAAAAAAATACAGGCAGAAGGCTACGATTTGGGTTTGGAACTACAAAAATACCAAATGTAGCTTCCTAAAATAAACAAAAAAAATCAAAAACAATGCGTGTCTTTGTTCTGCTATAAATAAAATTATATCCAGAGAAGTTCAAATATATCTGAACAAAGGAGATATCTCCTGTTTGTAATACATGTTCAAAGACGAGGATGCAGTATTCAGGTATAGGTCGGCGAGTACTGAGCTATACGTCCAATGTGTACAATGCATGCAAGTGTACATTACGTAAGAGTTCAGATCAGGCCGCATTCAGCAAGAAAGTGATGAATCGATTCCCAGAAAATATAGTATTCGCCTTTGCTTATGGTTCAGGAATTTCCCCACAAGAGGGAAGTGACATAAAGGTAAGTTGGTATAAATATCTCAGGGAGATTGATAGACCGAGCATATTTCCAGTTTGCACGTGTCTTTTTCAATGCGAATTAAAACATCATCTATTGTCGGAAGAAGCTGCTGTATGGACAGCGATTTCATCCTTGTAGCTGTGAATTGCTCAGTCATATATGGCCACGCCATGCTTCAGGAATAATATGTCGTACAACAGATCATATGATACGTCGGGACCGAGCTTGTGCTCCTTCTCCATAAACCACGTCAATGTATCGGTAAAAGTCAATTAACCTGGCATCCAAGAGTTAACCCCTCCAACATTCGTAATCTCAAACCTATGTAGCACCTATCTAGTGCTTATATGCTGCAACAAGCATATGAAGTGAGTGAAACACCACATTCGTGCATACGTACACATATTTTTTGTATACATGTCTGCAAACGTATCGAATTAATGAATGAAACCATACATATTAAGCTGTATACTCTCAAATACTTGCGTGGAAACACACTTTAAAGCCTGCATAATTTTTCATTTACTTATTCGTCCATAAATAACATATACCGAGCTGCATACTCTTGCATACGTATGTGGACACACACCGTTAAACTGTGTATTTTTATTCTTTTAATAATCTATAATTGCGTGCGTATGCGTATATTTTACCTCGTCGTTATGTATTGTGCGCATCTTTTCATATCGAAAGACACAATATTGAAGAATGTGTCTGCAAATGCAAATAACTTTATGTTCTGTTTCTCTGAAAGTCTTAACAATATGGTGTGAATCAATATATGATCGTCCTCAATTGTCCTATTTATGCACGTGTATGTGTATGTCTGTGTTATCCTGTACATCATCTTGCACAAAAAATGAACACAAGTGAATGCATATACTCACACGCACATCTATATATATATATACACACACACTCATATATATATATATATAGCACCTGTATAGTCGTATATATTAGTCATACTCACTATAACACAAAACTTGTATATGTAATCAGGTTCATTCACGGACAAATGCTCGTGCATATATGTTGAGTAGGCACTTCATTCGGATGTAAGAATGTCCATGTAGAAATCCAAGAGTATCTACTTAATTTTTTCTTCATTTTCTTGCTCGTATAGTGGTTTTTCTGAGAGACATATATTCATTTTGCAATATTACATGTGCCCGCCCTTTTTTATGCTGAAGTTATTTAGGTACATGTGCGATATCTATATTTTTGGACGCGAGATGCAACCATGATAGTTTGTTGCGGAGCTCGTCATGATATGTTCTTCATACACGAACGTGTTTTTTGCCCATTTCTTCTGCATTTCGATGATGAGTAATACGCATAATTGAAAGAGAAATTTTCTGTTTAATCTGACGATGTGTGTATTTCTAGTCGCTTCGTAGACACAATTTATATCAGCACGAGCTCTTAAAAGACGTGTTCACCGGTATAATTACAGGACAATATGATTGATCTGGTATTCGCCGTGGAAGATTCTCGTCGATGGCATTCTGAAAATTTGAAGCGAAACCCTACAGATTATTCAGCAATGAGGTTTCTTGGTCCCGCAGCGATCACACATCTCCAAACAAAAGTTGGAGCGTCTGTTTACTACAACACTCTGGTGCCTTTCGAAGATCGTGTATGTTAGGTTTCAGATCAACTTTTTGTTCAGTCTTTCCGCTTCTTTGTGTGTAGTAGAACTGATTGTGTCACATGAAAGCAAAGCAGTTCATACTGATTTGTCAAGCAAAAATACAGGGATGCACTTTGAATGCTTATTTTAGTCATCTAACCACAGTTTAGCATTATATACTGTACTTTTTCAGCTTATAAAGTATGGGGTTATCGAGGCTGATGATTTAGCCAAGGATCTAACCGAGTGGAATACTCTCTATTTAAGTGGTAGACTCCATAAACCGGTAAGGATCGGCATCTAGATTTTTCGATGTGTTCAGACTCTGAGATCAATTTCAGTTGTTTCTACGTATCGCTTGTGTCGACTATTGTGTTGTTCCTGACTGGGGCTACACAATATCCATTCTACAGATCACGATGTTGAAAGAGCCAAATGCGGATCTCAGGTCGCTGTATTCACAGAACTTACTTTCGGCTGCTGAGATGGCTCTGCTCCTCTTGCCGGAGAAATTCAGGGAATCTGATTTTTTCGAAACTATAGCTGCATTTTCATACACGGGCGACTTCCGTATGACATATGGCGAGCACCCTCGCAAGATTCAAAATATAGTCAAAGGTAATTTGAACGGGTATGTGGTATTACTGTTCGTCTTCGCGGAGTGAATCAGAAAACAAATTTGAACTAAAATAGGAAGAATGGACACTGCTTGTACGTAGATTAGCGCAGGAATTGAAATTTTTTTTTTGGCTTACCCTGCATGTTCATGCACGTGTACAGTATATCAGGCCCACCGAGAGCTGTGTGAAAAGTTCACCATCAACCGGAACCTTTCTGATTTCTATAATAGGTTCCGAACAATGTACGCGCCGTCGATCGAAGATTTAGTCGAGCGTTGTGTTTTGTCTACGGCTAGCGATGGCACTATGTCACAAAGCAAAGACATTGAAGTGTTGCAACGACTGTGTGATGGTCTACCGTCCAATTTACAAAGAGTCACCGTTTCGGGCAGCAGAGATCGAGTATACACGCCGCTCGAAATTCAAAAAGGCATGTGACAATGCAGAGACAGTGATGCGTATTTGACATATGGCGCTGGTTTTATGGTGCTGAAGTATTGGAGAACGGCATGTGCGCTATTGTTTTGTATTCTGTGATAATCAAATATACGAATTTTTCGATCTACTCTAAGCTGGTCAAGTCGCATCTCTATTTTTTTATTCCAGATGATTTCGCGATTCCTCAATGCTTATCTTATCCATGCAAATAATTTCCATAATAGGGATGGCCAGGATCGTCAAGTGGTCGAGTTTAATTCAAAGTGCGAAGGGACTTCCCACGGCCGGTTTCTTCAAATCGGCTGAGTACTTAGGCGCCAAGCTTAGGAAGTATTACAAAGCTGACCAAAAGAAGAGCTGACCAAAAGAAGACTTCACATGCCAGCGTTGGTTCGCTGCTAAGTGAGCTTCTACAATTGCACTAATGTCTGTGGGCGGACATTGTTTTTCATTGCCAGAAGCAAAATTCTGTCTATTTTAGAAGGCTACGAAAATTCAGTGTTGTGGCACCACAGTCTGCACTATAATCCAGGCACAATGGCCGGCAGAATCCAACAATCCAATTTGCTCCTCCAATGCGTTCTTGGACCGAGTGAAGTTTTTTGCAGTACCTGTAGCAAATATAAGTCGAGGGCCAACCGACCAGAACTTTCCAATTACTCAGCACATCTCAGAAGCTCAAGCTAATGACCAACCCGGTATGACAGCGATATGTGTTGCGGGAGTTTAGAAATACAAACGTGTCACGATCAAATGGCTCGTCTATCAATATATTTATCGCAGAATGAAATGGGGTACATATATAAGTGTTCTCTTAGTGTTATTATAGCCTACGAATGAAAGGCTAGGAATAAAAGGATTTATGTTACCTACATCACGTAATTGGCCCGCGCTATCGCAGAGATCAATATCTCGTCTGTAGTTTTTATATATTAGATCACTGAGTGTGAGGGTGGCGAGTATTCTCCCGAACCAAAAACCTGGCTACAAGGATAGTGGCGTTGACAATGTGATATAAAAAGTCGCTCAAGAGCGCTATTTAATACTGGGCTTAATAGCTTTCGTGTTCACATGAATTGTTATTAAAGTTCACAGAGCAGTTTTCAGAGATTCACTGCTGCATGATAAAAGAATGAGAATAGCCGAAGAAAAGGCAGTATAGATAACGGGATAATTAGGTAGATATATATATATGGTTGAATAAAGACGCTTTGATAGTATCGCCTCAATTAAAGTTCAGACCGCTTAAGAATGGGCGAACAGTGAAGCAGTGCTGCCGTACTCGATATCATGTCTTATCAAACGCTACGGATGCATATTTGACGCCAAGTGGGCCAAATGTCGGGTGTGCTTTGTCCATAGACCTGTTGATTGCGTATGGGTGAGGCGTATGATGCATGTCCAGTACAAGTGGATAAGACATACTCGATATATTCTATCACATCGAGCGCACGCCAGAATATAATACACCTTAAGCGAGAAAAACTATGGTGGTCAGTATCTCAGATTTCTTGACATCGCTCTCCACGCTTCAAACGCTGGGAAATTGTTCCCTCCATGATCGCTGATCAGCCCCCTTGGCAAATGGATTCAGTGCTAGTTGGTTGGTTTGCCCAATGACATATGAGACGTGTCCACTAAGGCACACAAGTGTTCCCAAATCACAGTGAACACTCGATTGGCGAGCGCTCAAACCAAATTCTTTAAGTGATCAAGAATTTCTTGCTGGAACGCCATATCAGTCGTCCGTCCAATGACCGAAGCTTTGTCTGCTAGAGTGGACATACCTTCGCCCGTTTGCCCAGAACCAAACATGGCGGGATTCCCGGCCGACCTTTGGTGTTGAACATTTGAGCGGCTAAGGTTAGAACTCGACAGCACCTTACTGTGCGCAGGCGAGGCTCGCCCAAATTGACTCACATCCGACAATGACGACGAATTACTCAGTGTATGAATGACCGATTCCAAATTAGATGCACTGATACTCATGGGTGATGAATATCCCGGAGCGGCGCCTTGCTGATTGAACTGGTTCGGACCATTATTGTGAACCATATTATCATTGCCACGATAGGGGTTCATCAAATTTGTTGTGCTGGTATTTCTGCTACCGGGCATGCTGGCCTCGCCATTGCCTTCGAACATGCCAGCGGTATTTACCATAAGGTCTTCGCGCGAGGCAGAGAAGTTTGGCATGGATTGATCTGACGCTTGTGGATTCCAAGAGTTTGCTCTACCGTGGCTAAGACTTTGGTTCGCTATTCGATTTACTTGTTGCTGGGCGTGCGGTGGTGGATTTATAAGTGGATTATTGAGCATGGTTCGTAAGTTGTTGCTCTGCTGCGATAGAGAGTCTGAGGACATGGATTGCATGTCGTTGCCAAACGAGCGAGTATTCTTGAAGGGCTGATTGTGCGCCACATTCCCATAGGAGTTCGACGCGCTTAGAGAAGATTGTGACGGATATTGCTGCGAGAACTGTTGCCGTTGCTGCATCTGCTGTTGTTGGTACTGTTGATGTTGCATCTGCATTTGTTGGCTCTGACTCTGGTCCTGCCCTGTAACCGCCACGAAATTAGCCCCCATAAGATCCAAGACGGAATTGTTCCTCGAATTTGCCGCCGAGCCACCTTGGCTTTGATTGAACTGTCGCTGTTGCTGGTTTTGTTGCATTTGAAGATCCTTGTTGCTATGCCAGCTGTTCATATTATCGGTACTGTCTCTGAGCTGTTGAAAATTCTCCAGCGATGTCGCCATATTGCTGTGAAAGAGGACAAAATAATAATAATGCCTAAACATCGGACACAAATGCGAGGTGACAGGAAGTCTTGCATTACCGGCGAGGCAGAATGATCATGTAGTCTTAAGATATCCCCAAGGGGGGAGGGGGCAGGGGGTAGGGAAGACTGCCCTAAACAATATAGCTGGTTCTCGAAACAAGCAAGATAGCTTATATACTAAAAAAGTACACTTGAAAACGATTACTCAAGCACACTAACATACTTCGGATTCATTCGCATTGGCAAATTGCCCATCGATAGTGAAGTCATGGGCGATTGGGCAGAATTCATCCGCATGCGTTCTATACGATCCACTTGCGGGGAAGTCGTATTTGATTTGTTCATGGAGTCGTGAAACCCGCCCACTGCTGACCATGCCAACTGATTGGAATTTAACCTTTGACTTGGTATTCTACCACCACCTGGGGAGCCTGGTTGACTTGCACTGCCAAATCCATGCTCACTATGAATAACAAGAGCAAATGTACTAAGTTTGTCGTCCGCAGAATATCAAGATAGACAAATCGCTTCTGAAACCCAGAATAGCACGCCACTCGACTTTTTTTAGACACGAATATGACAACTGCCAGATACTTCAGGCGCATGCACCCACATGCGCGTACGACGACATAATGTCATCTCTAATTACGTACATATGGTGAATGTAGCAGAATAGGATGTGTTGAAAACACGATGACCCATATTCAATAAAGCATCACTATACAAATATGCATAAGTGGACCAAAAAATGACTGAATACTTCGTACTGCACATAAACATTGAGAATCGCACAGCTAACAGCAAGACAAGACAATTCCGAAAAGAGCCAGACAATAAAATCAATATATATATATTAAAAGCAGCACTCAATATGTACTTCCACCAAACAATCCAACACCCGCAATAATATAACCCAATGGGCGTCCATGCACATACATACGATTCAATAGCGAGACAAACTGGCTGTGCGAGGGATCACAGGCACAAACACAAATAAATAAATAAACATATAATATAT